TGGGGGTCATCGTTGACCACAAGATGAACATGAGCCTGCAATGCGATGCGGCGGCTAGTAAAGCGACCAAAACGCTGGCTTTCATCCATAGATGCTTCTCAAGCAAATCCCGGGACGTCATTCTCCCCCTGTACTCGGCCTTAGTGAGGCCGCAGCTGGAGTACTGTGTCCAGTTTTGGGCTCCACAATTCAAAAAGGATGTGGAGAAGCTTGAGAGAGTCCAGAGAAGAGCCACGCGCATGATCAGAGGTCAGGGAAGCAGACCCTACGATGACAGGCTGAGAGCCCTGGGGCTCTTTAGCCTGGAAAAGCGCAGGCTCAGGGGTGATCTGATGGCCACCTACAAGTTTATCAGGGGTGACCACCAGCATCTGGGGGAACGTTTGTTCACCAGAGCGCCCCAAGGGATGACGAGGTCGAATGGTCACAAACTACTTCAAGATTGTTTCAGGCTGGACATAAGGAAGAACTTCTTTACTGTCCGAGCCCCCAAGGTCTGGAACAGCCTGCCACCGGAGGTGGTTCAAGCGCCTTCATTGAACACCTTCAAGATGAAACTGGATGCTTATCTTGCTGGGATCCTATGATCCCATCTGACTTCCTGCCCTTTGGGTGGGGGGCTGGACTCGATGATCTTCCGAGGTCCCTTCCAGCCCTGATGTCTATGAAACTATGAAACTATCCACATTTTCTGCAGTGGCGAGGCTTTTATTTTATGAAAATACTTAAGTTACGGTTGCCTGTTTCCCTGATCCCCTGCTAAGTTCTAAAATACAAACTGTGTGCGTGCGTGCGTGCGTGCGTGCGTGTGTGTGTGTGCACGCTCACACCTGTGTTTCCATCCCCAGCATGGATAATAAACGATAACCCTGAGTTCCATATAATTCAAGCTTTTTTTTAAATAGATACGTTTCACAGGGCTGTGAGAGTTGCTCCTGGTAATTAGCTCCCATCAGACAACAGAATTGCAGAACAAAGGATACTTTGATTACTGGAACTATTAAAGACCATTAAAAAAGAGAGGATCATTAACACCTGTAGAATAGAGTTTAGAAAGAATCAGGTGTATTATAAGGAGCCAAGACCTCAAATGACTGCGTTACTGCTGCCTGAATAGAATTGCTGCTGCTACAGCCAGGCATCTGGTTTTAAACTTTGGGTGGGG